ATCTTCTGTGTAGTTAATCCTTCATAATCTGGTACTGTACAGATTTTTAAGAGTATTAGAATCAATTCCAATACAGAAATAAGGTCAAATGTGTTCTCTAAATCACTAAAAATATAGAGACGAGATTTATCATTTAAATCATAGACTGAAAACTCACTCAACTCAGAATCTAGTAAAATGCCAGTCTCCCTGGGTCTCATTTTCAGCAGAAGCTGGATTTTGTTAGGACCCAGTGCAACATCGTTTCTTTCAACACATCACCCAGCTGCCCAGAATCCATTTACTACTAACGGCTGATTCTTCCTGTTTCTGAGAAACCTTCATGATCTATCTGGGCTTGTTTCCTACTTCCACCTCCTCCTGCCTGCCTGAATTAAGTCTCTCAGAACCCAGGACAGCTGAGCAGATTACAACCCCAGTGGGTCATTATGAAAGTTGCCTTCTGTCTTTCCACACTGCGTGATATTTCTATTGGAGACAGCAAGGTGAGGATCTAAAAACACATCTGCTTTAGTTACCATGATAATTTTGCAGAGGCTAGGATATCCTGGAGAAATGATAAAAGTGTTTTACGCTTTTAGGCTTGTTATAAAGTATTTTAGTTATTAGCCTACACCTGCCATAATCGGGTGTCCCCAATTCTACTTCTGACTAGACGCCCTCCCCCTCTATCACCCTTAGTAGATGTTTCTGTGCGGGAACACAACAGGAATACTTTATTAGGTTTTCATTTTGCTTTTAAAACTATCCACATGTCCATCCTATATTGTACTTTTTGCTTCTGCAACACTGATTTGCTGGCATGCATAGTCATCACCCTCCCGACTTATTCTACACTATTTTTCAACGGCTGATGCAATTCCAGAATTTTCCTGCGATGGGGCAGCCTTCTGTAGGAGTCACACGTAGGGCTTCCAGCGTTCAGTGCAACATAGAACCTTACAGAAGGGGGTCAGAAACTGTGATTCTCGCCCACAAGTTTCAGACCTTCCTCCGCCTCTCGCTTCCGGAGTAGCTTATCGATTTCAGTTAAGTTACTCAGCCGAGGACAGAGAGGGGGGAGGGGCAGGTCACATAGACGCTGACGCGAGTGACAGCAGCGCCCGCAGTCCGTGGTCCCCGTTGTCCAGACAGAGGGGCAGTGCGCCCTCTGCTGGAGACGGCCGCGGCTGGCACAGCTACTCCCAGCAGGAAGCCGCAGGGAAGCGAAGGTAACTCAACGGGGAGGCCTGGCTCTCCAGGGCGCCACCGACTGGAAAGTGGAGACCTCCCCAGACCTCGGAGACTGCTCAGCAGTCTTGCGGTCTCCTTGGCCGGCCACACTCATGGCTGCACTGATGCCTATTGCCCTGCAGCTACCCAGCTGCTTCTGTATCATCTGCAGCCTGATGCAGATGAGTCAGGCTCCCCCAGCTCCTTACTTTGTAGTTCGCATTAAGGCAAGCTAAGTTCAATGTCTTTTTTGCTTCCCCAAAGCAGAAATATCTCACAGAGGAGGCAGATGGGTCCCTCTGGTCATAAGCTGTACAATCAATCAGTCTCTAAACAGCATTTACTTTTTTCCTTTTCCTTCTCTTTTTTGTTTAAAGAATTACAACTGTTCGGAAGAGTTGCAAGTACAGCACAAAGACTCTTTTTCCTGAATCATTTGAGAGTAGTTGTCATCTGATGTCACCTCTGAATAGTTTGTATGGTTTTCTTCTTTCCTCTTAGATAACCAAGACACAACCATCAAAACCGGGAATTTAATGTTGATACATGACTATCATCTAACTCTTGGACCCCATTCAAGTTGCATCGGTTGTCCCAGTAATACTATTTTATTTTTTTTTATTTTTATTTTTTGAGACAGAGCCTCAAGCTATTGCCCTGGGTAGGGTGCCGTGGCATCACAGCTCACAGCAACCTCCAACTCCTGGGCTCAAGTGAGTCTCCTGCCTCCACCTCCCAAGTAGCTGGGACCACAGGCGCCCGCCACAACACCTGGCTATTTTTTTTTGGTTGCAGCCATCGTTGTTGTTTGGCGGGCCCGGACTGGGGATTCGAACCTGCCACCTCAGGTGTATGTGGCTGGCGCCTTAGCCACTGGAGCCACAGGCGCCAAGCCTATTTATTTATTTTTGAAACATAGTCTCATTTTGTTACTCTCAATAGAGTGTGGCAGCATCACAGCTCACAGCAACCTCAAACTCTTGGGCTTAAGCAATTCTCTTGCCTCAGCCTCCCGAGTAGCTAGGACTACAGGTGCCCGCCACAATGCCCAGCTATTTTTGTTGTTGTTGTTATTGTTTAGCAGGCCCGGGCTGGGTTTGAACCCTCCATCATGTGTATGTGGCTGGCTAAGCTACGGGTGCCGAGGCCCAGTATTATTATTTATGGCAAAAGAATCCAGCTCATCATCACATGTGGCAATTAATGGCCATGTCCCTTTAGTTTCTAAGCCTGGGAAAAGTGCCTTGGTCTTTCCCTGACATGACCTGATACTTTTGAAGATTTAGGCCAGTTATTTTGTAGCCATCCCTTCATTTGTGTTTGGCTGACGTTTCCTCTCTACTAGATTCAGGTTATACATCTTCGGCAGAAATAGAAATGATGTGATGCTGTGTTTTTCTCATTGTATCCTGGTAGAGGATGTGTGATTTCAATTTGTCCCATTACTGATGATGTTTCTTTACTCCTTCTGCCAATCC